TATAACAAATGGCTTTGTTGTACTTGAGAAGATTTTTTAAAAAAAATTCCCATATATTCCTTTGTAAAAATTTGATCCCTCATTGTGGCTCCTCCCTATCCCAGGGGTCATCATTTGAACAAACTTGAATCTACACTACCTGAGGATGCTTCCATATCAATATGACTAAACATAGCTTTTCTGTTCTTGAGAAGAAATATTTTTTCTCTATGTTCTTAAGTAAAACTTTCCATGCCCCATTGGGCCCCATCCTACCCCTGGGGGTCATCATTTGAACAAAATTGAATCTACACTACCTGAGGATGCTTCCATATCAATATGACTAAACATAGCTTTTCTGTTCTTCAGAAGAAGATATTTTCCTTTATATTTCTATGTAAAACTTTGATCCTCCATTGTGGCTCCGCCCTACCCCCGGGGGTCATGGTTTGAACAAACTTGAATCTACACTACCTGAGGATGCTTCCATATCAATATGACTAAACATAGCTTTTCTGTCCTTGAGAAGAAATATTTTTTCTATATGTTCTTATGTAAAACTTTCCTTCCCCCATTGGGCACCACCCTACCCCTGGGGGTCATCATTTGAACAAAATTGAATCTACACTACCTGAGGATGCTTCCATATCAAAATGACTAATCATGGTTTGCAGTTCTTCAGAAGAAGATATTTTCCTTTATATTTCTATGTAAAACTTTGACCCTCCATTGTGGCCCTGCCCTACCCCGGGGGTCATGGTTGGAACAAACTTGAATCTACACTACCTGAGGATGCTTCCATATAAATATGACTCATCATGACTTTGCTGTTCTTGAGAAGAAGATTTTTAAAGATTTTTCCTATATATTTCTATGTAAAACTTTGATCCTCCATTGTGGCCCCACCCTACCCCCGGGGGTCATGGTTTGAACAAATTTGAATCTACACTACCTGAGGATGCTTCCATATAAATATGCCTCATCATGGCTTTGCTGTTCTTGAGAAGAAGATTTTTAAAGATTTTTCCTATATATTTCTATGTAAAACTTTGATCCTCCATTGTGGCCCCACCCTACCCCCGGGGGTCAAGATGTGAACAAATTTGAATCTACACTACCTGAGGATGCTTCCATATAAATATGACTCATCATGGCTTTGCTGTTCTTGAGAAGAAGATTTTTAAAGATTTTTCCTATATATTTCTATGTAAAACTTTGATCCTCCATTGTGGCCCCACCCTACCCCCGGGGGTCATGATTTGAACAAATTTGAATCTACACTACCTGAGGATGCTTCCATATAAATATGACTCATCATGGCTTTGCTGTTCTTGAGAAGAAGATTTTTAAAGATTTTTCCTATATATTTCTATATAAAACTTTGATCCTCCATTGTGGCCCCGCCCTACCCCCGGGGTCATGATTTGAACAAACTTGAATTTACACTACCTCAGGATGCTTCCATATAAATATGCCTCATCATGGCTTTGCTGTTCTTGAGAAGAAGATTTTTAAAGATTTTTCCTATATATTTCTATGTAAAACTTTGATCATCCATTGTGGCCCCACCCTACCCCTGGAGGTCATGATTTGAACTAACTTGAATCTACAACACCTGAGGATGCTTCCATATAAATATGACCAATCATAGCTTTGCTGTTCTTGAGAAGAAGATTTTTCCTATGTATTGCTATGTAAAACTTTGATCGTCCATTGTGGCCCCACCCTACCCCTGGGGGTCATGATTTGAACAAATTTGAGTCTACACTACCTGACAATAATTTCACATTAGTTTCATATTTCCTGGCCCATTGGTTCTTGAGAAGAAGATTTTTCAATAATGCCATTAATTTTTTGCTATTTTGTTATTATCTACCCTTGGAGGGGGCGTTGCCCTTCATTTGAACAAAATTAATCCCCTTCACCCAAGGATACTTTGTACCAAGTTTGATTTAAATTGGCCCAGTAGTTCTGGAGAAGAAGATGAAAATGTGAAAAGTTTAACAACGCCAATGACGACAGACAAGGACAGATTTCGATCAGAAAAGCTCACTTAAACCTTCCTTTTTCCTAATAGAATAACTCTGTTTTACAGTTGGAGTTGTAAATCAGAAGAATTACTAAAATTTGAAGATGCATTGTTCTAGTGATGTGTTGATTAATCTACTCTTTGATTAAAAGCTCTAAATAAATAAATGAGCTCAAATTTATTCATCATAAGTATTTTTTTTTTAAAATTGTCATGTCATAATTTCCCAATTGGTGATAAAATGTCATTAAATTCCAAATTCCAAGGGCCTAGGCACCATTCCCAAAATGCAGTGGAAAATCCCTGTGATTTTTTTTTATCTAAGAACATCTGGTGATACTATGATTTTAAACTAAGAATATCTTGGAAAATTATCAGTGAGAAAAGTACATTGCACAAGTCCAGCACAATCTCTTGATTAAGCTAGGCCAAAATAAAAAATAGGTTTGTTTCCCCTAACGCGACCGACCCACTTAAATCGTGCCGACTGAAAAGTTTTTTTAATAAGATTATTCAAACATTTATTTTTATTGTTTATCAACTTTATCAAACACAATTTCACCAAAATTGGTTTTTTATCAGAACGGCAGCTTTTGTTTTACTCTCATTTGGCACCCACATGTGGCCACAGAGGGTTATTTAGTGTTATAAAACAACGGCGATCTATCAGTCTTAATATACATATTTAACTTATTAGAATCCTACACTCTTGAATCATTTCGTGAATTAAAAATATACCATGACTAAGGAGTGTTAAGATGGTATTTACAAATGTGTCTTCTAAAATTAACTTACGTAGTAAGCATGGCGAAGCCTGCCTCATGAGCAGAAGAGGGGCCCAATTTGTGTATGCATATCAATAAATTTCACTCGATCCATTTCATTCATTTCGATCTAAAAAAACACTTCATGTATGATTCTATTTTTACTATATAGGACCATAGGATTTGTAAATATCTTTGTATAATTAATTCATCTTGATGAATATAATTCGGATGTCGTTACTTCATTCCTTTTATTTATGGGGTAAACTTCGTGACAATAACATTAGATATATGAAACTTTAATCATTTTTAATATGGTTTGGTTGAATTAAATATTGTTTATACAGGTACTCTCTTTTCAAATAGTGTTGAAATCTTTAAAGTTGGCTTATGGTACGGCTTCCTGAGACGTCCAGTGTATTAAGTGTAAAATAGTTTGTTTCTTTGCTTTAAAATACTTTTAAAAATTGCTGGGTAGACATTTGAACACCTGCCTGGTGGAGGGCTCCTAATTTAGACTTTTTCTCGGCACTTATGGCCAATGATCATAAAGCATCAGTAAGGGATCTTTATCGTGCCAACATCAACATGTATACTGTGACACTGCATGGCTCTACGTTTTTTTACGGTCTCATTTGACTGACTAGTTTCCATGCCCCACGTCGGGATCTGTGACTTGGAATAAGCTCCTGAATTACGTCGTGACTTCAAAACGGAACACTAGAATCACTTCGCCACGCAAGGCCCTTGACATTTTATCTGTGTAAGCACTCGAAGATGATAGTAGGTTTGAAAAATATATATTCGGATGGCCGATGGTTGAGTATTTGCGAATCTTGTCTTTTTGTAAAAATTCAATTTCAATAAATTTACGCTGGCCTGAGATATTTCACAAGTTCAAATGAATAATATTTGTGAATTAATTTACCATACATGTTGCTTTTAAATTTCATTTGTATGATATTCGGTTTAAAAATCGGTTTCTTTTGTTCTTTCTTATTTATAGAGATATTATTCAATTTTCGGAATGTATTTTCAAAACTGCTGTCAGAAAAAAAATAATTTACCTACCTACCTACTCAACTTGAAATTTTAGGGTCGGGTTAGGGGAAACAAAGATATTTTTAATGATGGCCCTATATAGCTTGAAATAGCTATATAGCTTTATTACGCTATTCAACATAGCTTGATAAAGCTACTTATATGCAGTTTTTAACAAAAATGTTATTTGTGCAAAATAGACAAAAAGTCGCAAGTATTTGACTATTCATATATGTACTATGGGCTATCAAAACAACAACCAAAATCAAAGATAGTTCCAACATTGCAGCATTTGAATACTTTTAAGCAAAAGATGAATTTCCATTGTTTGGGTAACTGTACACTACCTTGTGCGTTGAGGCATGGATAAGTATGATTGCTTCTCATTGTACTGAATTATTACCAATCAATTATCTTGTTGACCATAATTTACCTCCTTTATAATTTCATTTGAGATCTAACTGTATCAATTGCTTTATATAGCCCCCAAAACTTTTAGAACTTTGAGTACAAAGTCCCTTAAGGAGACACAATTTGATGAGTGATTTTTACATGCATTATTTTCAGAAGAGTTCAAGGTTGAATATTATCGTTGCACCAAGGTGCGACTTTTTGTGCATGCTGAGAAAATAATACATTTGAGAAAAAAGTGTGATAAAATAGCTAAATCAAGCTATTCTGAATAGCTTAATAAAGCTATATAGCTAAATCAAGCTATATAGCTAAATCAAGAGATTTTGCCGGACCTGTTGTAAAGTATGTGTACATGTACATTGCATATGTCCTTAAAACCACCACAATGTTTCCATTTTTACAGAACTATAGGACAATACCAGCATCTTGATGCAGTGCCCCTAATAAGGCCTAGATAAATAAATTGTGTTTTTGGTTCCCCAACCGACCCTAAAAAATTTATCAGCAGATATTTTTCCAGGAGTAAACTATTCAAGTTTCACTATTATGTATTAGAAATCGTAATCTCAATCACTTCCGTGTTTCAGAAAATGCATATCTTATACACATTAATCAGAAATGTTTTGACAGCAATTTCCCCGGGGGAAAATGATAGCATGCATGCCGATAAAATATTAAAATAAAATAAAATGTTTTCCCTACCTACCTACCCTATTTTTTCTCAGGTTGGCATAGGAAACACACTATTTATTTATCTTGGCCTACTCATTTACCTTCAACATTTTCTGCTGTTGATTCATCATTTTCTTCTTTCTCCTCATTTGCAGGGCCAGAATTCCCAAATATCTGTTTCTCTTTCTTTTCTACAATCAAGAGAGTAATTTATAAGGGCATTTAATTCTTTCATTAACCCTCTATACACTGCACACTAAAGAGTTCCATTTCCATGGTATTTTTATGTAGTTAAAGTGATCTGCCCTTAGATGTAAAATGAAATAAATTGAAATCTTAAGTTTATTATTCAATTTGGAATCAATTCAAGCATTCTAAACATGTCATTTTTCCTAGTTGAATTAATTGAACACTCTATTTGCATGCATTTTTCCCATTTAAGTAAGCAACAGTGATATCAGTTCACCACCACTTCATTATCTTTGTCAGTGTTTTTCCTGGGGGTAATTGGCAGGTACCCTATGTTGAAAATTAAATAGATAAACTCCATATTTATATCTTTATATGGTATGATTTTCTCAGAACCCCCGAAACATTTTTCATTGGTGTATAGAGGGTCCTTAAATTCTTTCACTGAAAAAATTTAAAGGGCAAATGGCACTGAGGGTTCCTTGGGTCACCTGCAAGATTATAGCAGCTACAGTGTCTCCTTTGTCTCTGACAATTCAGTAGTATAATGAGCAAGCAACTCTCCAAAGACAAGGGATGATGACACATTTTAGTGATGTGAAGTAAGTTCACTGAATTTTACACAAAATATCTTAGAGGGGTCTAAATGTAAATGGAAATATATACCTTTTTTCAGTGATAAAGATTTTTCTGATAATTTGCCTTTTTCAAACTAATTTTGATTTTTTTAATGTATTAAATCTTCAATATATTTAAGTTAAAGAGATTCACAATAAAAATGAAATCCTTGATCTGTACATGGAGGAAGGAAGGCCGAGGGGGATCTGTCTATAAGTACAAGTAGTATCTTGTCAAAGTAGCTAAGTAAGTGATAGCACGTTTGCTTCATGATAGAGAGGCCCAGGTTCAATTCTCGTTCTCCATGCCGCTTCAAACCTAAGGTGTAAACATACGTAGTGGTCCTTCACCAAGCGCCCAGCACTAGAGACGAAAGTCACAGATCCATCTGATGAGACCTTAAAAATTGAGGTCCCATGTCACCATAGGCTTGGCATAATAAAGAACCCTCAATACTCAATGGCCCTGAGTGCCAAGTATGGGTCTGACTTTGAAGCCCTTAAGTGACATCTCTAAATGAATGGAAGGGTCTTGAATGGGATGTAAAACAACATACAATCAATCAATTTATAGTCGAAATAACCCTGATGGCAGACTCAGAGAAACAGGTCTGGCCATTTTCCGGTTGGTCCAGAACAGGGTAGAAATACAAAGACAAGTGCTCAAGATATATTTCAATCTGCAATACCAACTAAAATCATATACGAAATCTCAAAGAAGTTTTCAGAAAAACAGTTTATCATTGTTGACATTTTCTTAACTTTGTTCCATTTGCCCTGGCATGCATACCAAGTCTTGTTCACTCAGGCCTAAACTAAAAACAAGAGGCCCAAGGTCCTTAACGGTCACCTGAGTATAACACAACAATTTAGAAGTTTAATACACTGACAGAAGATGCTTTGTTGCCCTAAAGCAAGAGAAGTAGGAAGATCAGGATCAACAAAATAATTAGTCTAGTATTCAGTATCAACTCATAACTTAAGTTCTAATATGTCCCCCACTTAATATTATCACCATGCAGACTATTAACAAACTATTAGTGCTTCTGTACTATTTTTAAACCCATATTAAGACCTCTAGCATTGACCTCTCTTATGGTCTTTGAAGAACTTTTAATAAGATAAGTTATTTTTGTCTCATTTTTATTTACCTATTACTTACAGGTCTGCCTGATTATTAAAACTAAGAAAGTACTTTTTGAATTATACGATAAACATTCTTGCATAATTATCTTATTCTATTAATCTTTCAAATACATTATTTACAGTGATTAATTATCAAAGGTGAATGGAAAAGGGGAATAACTTCTCTCAGTAGAATACAAATTAATAGAGCCCTGTCCAGGACCAGAATGCTTAGACAAATTGTCCAGATGTTCAAAAATCTGGTAGAAATACGCTTACTTATATCATTTAAACTTTTTACTCAGTTTGCTTTCGATATGCCCAGCAGCAGAGAAGAATTTCACAGGTACAATGCATTTTCACTACAGATTCAACAAAGCCTTACCCTAACACCAGAACCCAAGACCAAAGGTCAAGAAATTTACAAATTTGGAAGAGTTACCCTCATCATCATAACTATGGACTTCAAAGAATTAACACTTTTCCAATATATTATCAAAAGACCCCCCCCCCCCTTCCTCGTTATGCCAGAACCCCTGACCCTAGGACCACAAGATTTAAAAATTCTGTTCTAAGCTCCCATCTTCATCACAGCTAAGCAATTTATTTATCAGCTCAACACTAAGGAGCAGACAGGATTAGTTAAAGATTAATTAATAGAATTAATGCATTTTCACTATATAATCAATAGAGCCCCCCTCCCCCCCCCCCCCCTCAAGAACCCCAAAAACTGAGGCCATGTATTTAAAAATTTTGGAAGAGGCATCCTTGCCTATCATAATCATGCACTTAGTTTGTTTAAATAATCTCCAGTAGCAAAGAAGAAGATTTTCATAGAATCAATGCATTTTCAATATATAATCAATAGAGCCCCACCCTAACATCGGAACCCCTGACCCTGGGGCCATGAAATTCACAATTTTTGAAAAGGCATCCTTATGCATCATAACCATGCACTTGGTTTGTTTAAATAATCTCCAGTAGCAAAGAAGAAGATTTTCATAGAATCAATGCATTTTCACTATATAATCAATAGAGCCCCACCCTAACACCGGAACCCATGACCCTGGGGCCATGAAATTCACAATTTTTGAAAAGGCATCCTTATGCATCATAACCATGCACTTAGTTTGTTTAAATAATACCCAGGAGCAGAGAAGAAGATTTTCAAAGAATTAATGCATTTTCACTATATAATCAATAGAGCCCTGCCCTAACACCAGAACCCCTGACCCAGGGGCCATGGCTTTCACAATTCTGGAAGGGGCCCACCTCCTCCTCATAACTATGTACTTAGTTTATCACCTTAATGCCCAGGAGCAGAGGAGAAGATTTTCAAAGAATTAATGCATTTTCACTATATAGTTGATAGAGCCCTGCCCTAACACCAGAACCCCTGACCCTGGGGCCATGAAATTCACAATGTGGGAAGTGGCTCTCTTGCTCATCTTAACTATGTACTTAGTTACTTAATTTAATACCCAGGAGCAGAGAAGATTTTCAAAGAATTAATGCTTTTTCACTAGATAGTTGATAGAGCCCCGCCCTAACACCAGAACCCCTGACCCTGGGGCCATGAATTTCACAATTTTGGAAGAGGCACTCTTGCTCATCATAACTATGTACTTAGTCACTTTACTTAATACCCAGGGGCAGAGAAGAAGATTTTCAAAGAATTAATGCTTTTTCACTATATAATCTATAGAACCCTGCCCTAACACCAGAACCCCTGACCCTGGGGCCATGGATTTCACAATTTTGAAAGAGGCACTCTTGCTCATCATAACTATGTACTTAGTTACTTTATTTAATACCCAGGAGCAGAGAAGAAGATTTTCAAAGAATAAATGCATTTTCACTATATAATCAATAGAGCCCCACCCTTACACCAGAACCCCTAACCCCGGGGCCATGAATTTCACAATTTTGGAAGAGGCACTCTTGCTCATTATAACTATGTACTTAGTTACCTTATTTAATACCCAGGAGCAGAGAAGAAGATTTTCAAAGAAATAATGCACTTTCACTATATGATCTATATAGCCCCACCCTGGGGCCAGAACCCCTGACCCTGGGGCCATGAATTTCACAATTTTGAAAGAGGCACTCTTGCTCATCATAACTATGTACTTAGTTACTTTATTTAATACCCAGGAGCAGAGAAGAAGATTTTCAAAGAATAAATGCATTTTCACTATATAATCTATAGAGCCCCGCCCTAACACCAGAACCCCTGACCCTGGGGCCATGAATTTCACAATTTTGGAAGAGGCACTCTTGCTCTTCATAACTATGTACTTAATTACCTTATTTAATACCCAGGAGCAGAGAAGAAGATTTTCAAAGAAATAATGCACTTTCACTATATGATCTATATAGCCCCACCCTGGGGCCAGAACCCCTGACCCTGGGGCCATGAATTTCACAATTTTGGTAGAGGGCTCAATGCTTATTACAATGATGCCAACAGTTTGACTGCTTGATGTCCAGGAGTAAAGAAGAAGATTTTTAAAGATTGCATTATTTTTGGTGGTTTTAGCCCCACCCCTCAGGCCCCAGGGGGGCAGGGACCATGAAATTCTTAATTTTTGTTCCCCTTAACCCATAGATGCTATATGCCAAATTTGGTTGAAATTGGTTGAGCGGTTTCAGAGAAGAAGCTAAAAATGTTCAAATGTTAACGCACGACGCACGCCGACGGACGAGAACGGATAGCAATAGGTCACCTGAGTGACTCAGGTGACCTAAAAAATATGTTTGTTTCCTGTAACATTCCAAAACAAAATCAAGGGTTGGCAGGTCAGAATTTTTTTTTTAATTTTTTTTTATATTTTTATTTTCTTTTTTTGCTTATGAATAAAGGAGTAAAAAATCCCCGGACTGAATTAACCAGGTGTGATATTTACAGCAGGCACCCAATGTGACTGTCTAGCAGCAGAAAACAAACTTCAGAAAGTTGTCACTGTTGTGGGGGAAATGCATGATGTTACAATAATGATAGCTGCAGAACTTTAGCATTATGGTTTTATGTTTTAGTCTTTGACCATAAGGCTACAGATCCCATAATGCAAATATTGTGCAATTTACGGCGCAAGATTTTCTGCGCACTTTGGGGATGTATTTTCCCACTTTCCAGCTTTAGTCAATCAACTGCCTTTCAATTCACCTAATTCTAGACACATTCTATTTCTAACCAATCTATATATTTTATGATTTATCCACCTTCTAACCCTTTCTAGTCGTCTCTACAGACCAATAAACCCGCTTGTGAATTTTATGCCATCGGCCGACAACAAATTCACAAATGAGTTTATTGGTCTGTAGAGACCACTAGAAAGGGTTAGGTGGTGGACAAAATATACAAGTTGGTTATAGAATATACTCTTCAAAAAAGAAACTCATACCCGGTAATAGACACAATACCCTGAAAAATGTAAGATATTTTGTCATACAATTTTTTTTTTTTTAGATGTATATATGATTCATTCGAGTAAAAAGTGTTATTTTTTAATGCAATTGTTAATTGTACAGCTATTCTACAATCTCACAGACAAAAAGACCTGATTTTGCAAAATGCTAAAAAAAAAAATTTTTTTTCTCAATTTTCATTTGTTGGTTTCTGATGCAATTCTTTAAGGTAGCAAAGGGCTATCAAAAGCTGGGGTTCTTGATATTTTGATTCTGGTTTTATCTGATCATTGACAACATTTTAAAATGCTGCATCTGAATGTTGCATATCACAAAAAGGAAAATAAGCGACTGGAAGCAAGTGTACCACAGTGTACAATTGCAAGAGGTTTTAATGTTAGGCATAGCACCATCCTTAACCTATAAAACATATACCATCAGCATGGAACATCCATTGTTTGCCAAAAATGTGGCAGACCACATGTGACATCAGCAGCACAGGATCGCTTCAGTAGTTTGTGTAATTTTCGTGAATGTTTCACAATGACGTCATCTACAGCATATGTTATCCGTGAACTGCACAGCATATCTAGTAAGACCGTTTGTAGCTGACTATATATGGAATGCTGGAATTATTGCAAGAGGATTATTCATGCCATTGTTCTGACCCCACAACACCACAAGTAAAATCCACCTGTGGCATCACTCTTTTGTTTGAGCGCTCCATCATTAACCCTTACATATTGGCTTCAGAGTTCTCAGACCAACAAAGTATGGTCACAGCAACATCGATGAACATTTTGGTTTAGCTACTAGTCCAGAATGTTTATCGCTAAGCCTGTTGCAAGTTTAAGAGTGTATAAGCTTTGTAATGAACGTTTTACAGAAAACTGCCTCCAGAACGTTGATAGATTTAGTGGTGGTAGTGTAATGATATGGAAAACGGTATTACAAAAAAGTAAGACTGATTTGGTTCATATTCAATGAACTTTGATGGAAAAAGACACTCTAACGATGTTCTACCTGCACATGCCTTTCCAATATTGCAGCATTCTAGAGCCGTATTTCAATCTGACAATACACAGCCACATACGGCTCATTTGACAATGACATCCTTGCAAAGCAACAGCAACCTGTTTCTCCCATGCTCATCTAAATTGCCAGATTTAATCCCAATTGAACATGCATCGGACAAAATGGATAAGCATGATTTGCTGAAGACAATCACACCCCCAGACTCTGCAACAGCTGACCAAAGCTTTACATTTAGAGTGGGAGAGTGTAGGCCAAAAAAAATTAATCAATAGCTTCTCAGGCACCGCCGCATCAGATCAAACACCAGGGTTTGAAATTAACAGTCACCCACTCGCAATTTGCGACTGATGTTCCATGTGGGCGACTTAAAATTACATTCAAGTTGCGCACATGGCGATTTGAAAATTTATGATAATAAATATTTGTTTTTCAATTTTATATGATATTGAATGATCATATCAATCTTCATAAACAGAAGAGTTCCACTTCAAATTTAGATAAGTCGTACATAATGTTACAACGGATAGAAATGAAACACGAAGCACATGATAAAAAAAAATGAAAAATGGGGTTGTTGTTTTTATATTCAGTAGAAGGTGTGATAATCTGTGGGCGAATAAATTTTGATGTGGGCCCCTGAGAATTGCAAGATTCAGTAGCCCACATGGCTATCAAGGATTACAAGTTAGTTTATAACCCTCAACACTGTCGCATTGATCAATTTTATTGATATATTGAAAAGAGCAATAACTCAATTTTCTATTTTTCCAAGTTGAAAAAGAAAATTGAGTTATTCCCCTTTTCGTAAATGCTAATAGATAGACCTTTTTATTAGATAAACAATATATTTCTTATTAATACAGTATTTTATGAATTAGCTTTGTTTGGAAAAACATTATTTAAAGTTGAATACATATTATAATTAATGTAAGAGAACCAAAAAGGTGAGAATCAGTTGATATCATCATTTTGTTGAACAACTGACAATAAAAAAAGGTATAACACCTGCTTCAAAAAAAAAAAAAAAAAAGAACCTGCCTGCCACATTGAATTTTGAAATTATTGGCCTGAGAAACTATTAATTAATTTTTTATGGCCATACCTATACAGTTTTTAATACACTCATTTGCTTCCATTAGGTGCCGTTTTAGGCTATTATCCTTTGTTACTGAGTGTGGGGGGGGGGGGGGGGGGGGCATAACAGATAATGATCTTTAATGACCTTGAACTCTCTCTGATTTTTAAATTCTTGAGTAGTTATGGCATTTAGATATTTTTAACCACATTTCTGTATTATCAATACATCATTTTACTTAATAATATTTATGTTCAATTTGTCACTAAAATTCTACTATGTGTTTCTTTTTTTGAAGAGTATATATCTCGAGTTAGGGGATGTGCGCAGAAAATCTTGCACTGTAAATTGCACAATATTTGCATTAAGGGATCTGTAGCATTATGGTCAAAGACTAATATATAGAACCATAATGCTAGTTTAATTTGCAGCTACAATAATGATTACTCTTTATAGGTAAATGTTGACTAGGTTGACATATTTTGTATCTCAGATAAAGCTACAATATTAACATATAAAAGTTTCACATATGAAATAATTGTCTTTTTTGTGTGTGTGTCAATTTGCTCACCAATTTGAATTTATTTAAGGATAGTTACGATCATACATTCTTTGGTGAATAAAAATAATTTGTATATCCAGCATTCATCTATCAAAGATTAGGGATGTACGATTTATCAGTATATATCAAAATGTTTTTTTACTGTTTGATATGTAATGTGATATAAAGATGAAAATTATAATTTTCCGAAAGTATAAAAAACATTAGGAAAACAACTGCAACCTAAAATTCAGATCTGTTTTAAACTTAATAAAAGGCCAACACTCTTTAAAAAATATTTGGTCCATTCAATGCTTAAATGTAACAACTAATTTGGCATATATATGTTTCATTGGAATTCATAGTACAGGTCATTTTATATCTCCGCCCTGCATTGAAACCATTGCATTCATCTAAATTGAGTGTTATATTTTATCAAGAAGAATGTCAGGATTTCAAAATCTTTGATTGCTAGCATATATATAGAGAATAATACATGGCAAAATCTGTATCACACCCCATATCAACCCGAGACTCCAATATCAGCCCGAGGGCCGAAGGCCAGAGGGCTGATATTGGTCGAGGGTTGATATGGGGTGTGATACAGATTTTGTCATGTATTGTTGTTTTTATTATATATTTGAAAATAGTTTCTAAAAATCTTATATAAACTTGTAAATTAATTACCATTTTTTAAATAATCGAATGTGTTCTGTTGTTGAATTTCCGTTTCTCATTTTTTTTTCCAAAGGCAATGCATTCAGCGATAAGAAATGAAATAATTATAAATTGAACAAATAATTATTTTGAATAGCATAAGATATCTGATGAAGTAAAATTACAATTTAAATAAACTTCATTAACAAATAGAAAAAGATCCGAGATACTCCAAATGAAAAAATACAGAAATGTTCCGGAAAGGTGTAATAAAGGGTGTGATAAAGGGTGAATTAAAGGGTGCTGATACAGGGTGTGTAATACAGGGCGCGTGCCTGTGTTCATATCAGGGATGCAAAAATCCTGTATTATGTAACAAATATATAATAAATATATATATATATAACCAAGCCTGAGGTTAATTAACACCTCTCCTTTCCCTTCCAAAAGAAAATAGGTTTAAAGTGCCATTGTATTCTATAATAACACAAATTTGGAAAAATCTATCAAATAATTTTACATCATTTTAGAATTATTTAACCCTGTCTTCTTAAGACCCCCTCCCCCCCCCCCCCCCCAACACACACAAACATTTCTATCCCCAACTATGTTTTAATCATGTTTTGAAACCCGTCGCACATTAATAATACATGTAAATAAACCCAAGTTTTTAAACAATAAATCGCCCGCCTAATTCAAATGCCAATGAATTTTATAAATTCAACTCAACAATATATAAAATATATATACACCTAAGTCTATGAGAATGAAAGATCTAAAATTCTAAATGTATATGTATTTACAGCTATAATACGATTGCTAAATATACCGAATGAATACTTTTTAAAATTTAACATACCACATGATGACATTTGTAAGATATTCCCCTATTCCTTTTCTTTGCCTTACAAGAATGCCGCCGGGTTTTCAAAACGCGATACACCTAATTAAACTTAAATTCTGTTGACCTATATAGATCACATGGAAGTAGTTTGTAACAAGGATCCCCTGCATCAGCCCTGGCCATGGCATCCCGCCGTGTCACTCGATTAACGCTTGATAAACACATTATCGAAGGGAAACTTAAATTCCCATAGCACAAATAAATGACTCCACTAAATTATTTTTTCAGGAACTTTGTCAAACAAATAATTTTTTTTAGATTTTTTTTTACTCTCCTTGTTAGATATAAATTTTTTTACAATGGTATAAGAAATAAATATGAAAACACTTCTGTGTTTTTTATTTTATTATTTTTTATTTTATTTATTTATTTATTATTTGGGGGGTCTAAATATTTTTATCACAACTCAATTGCAAAATACTCAAAATCAATCATAACTCAAAAAACTTTAAAACTATTTATAAGAAAACAGAAGTTTTATAGATATACATGTAATGTCTTACACTAAATAATTAAACTTGACATGCTTGGTACATGTATTTCTGTAATGTTTTTTACAAAATTGTTTCGCAAACATTTTAAGACAATGTTGTATTCACGTTGTCTGGTAACATTTCTATTTCATGAAATTTATTATAAGTATTATACAAGATACAAGATATGAATTTTTTTAAATCATATTATTCAGTTTAAAGCTACATGATATTTTATCATTATAGAAATTAATGTTATATGCTAAATGTTTTCTGAAAACCTCCTTGCAACAGGAACAAAATGTTATGAAAAACATTTTTAAAATGATTGTTAAGAATGTTTTCTAATAAAGTCTTTACAACCAAAATAAAACGTTTGAAAAACATTTCATAAACGTTTTATTAAAAACGTTTTCAGATAACATCATTACAACGGGAATAAAATGTTATGAAAACGTTTTGTGCTGCCTGGGAAGGGCAACTAACTCGTAACCCCAAGATTTTACACTGCCATACCTTTTATCTCGTTCCAGCTGTGTCTTTCAAACGAGCAGTTTTGTACAAAGGTCAATGGGATTTGGAGAACCCTAATTAAAGAAATTACCTGCTATATGTCTATCTACATAACAATTAACATTCAATCTACTCTAATCTTGGCGCTCTCACGTGGGTAGATAAACCGGAATGCCGATCCCGATCTCTTTATTATTATGGAAAGATCCTGTAATGACGCTCATAGTAATAATAATTCATCCTGTTTCAGAATATTGATGGAAAGACATGCTCAATAAAAAAAAAAAAATAAAACGTTTTGCTCTTTTGAATATCGGAGAGTAAATGAACAGTTTGGAGAGGTAACCAAGATTTTTTTTCTTTTCTTTTTTAATTTTATTTTGTTGTAATGGATTCCATTTTGTTGGTTTCTGAAAATTCACAAGATAAAGTTATTATTTTCACCTTTAAATGACATTATTTTCTCAAAGCCGACAAACGGTCATTAATCTGTTAATTCTTCACTCTAGTCACTGGCGGATTAAAAGTGGGCGTGGGAGCATGCGACCCCTCGTAATATTTTCGAAGATCCCTCCTCTGTTTACAGAATTCCGTATTTCCTCTGCTCATAATTTGTATTGTTTAATTGGACTTTGGAGTATGCTGAAGTTACATCCGTTATCCTCACATTTCATTAGGTTATATGTTTTTTCCCCCAGTTCTCGTCTAGCTCTATGGTCTGCCAACTGTTGTACCTGTCGAGTTCTGCAACTAGTTGTAATCAATGTATATCAAAAAGCAGCTACATGTTATTAATTAATTAATTTATTTATTTATTTATTTATTTATTTATATGACAAATATTATACACAAGACTAAAATGATACATCATAATTTAAAACTTGTTTTTAAGACAGTTTCTTATCGTTTTATAAAAATACTGAAAATAATTTGTGTGACTGATTTTTTTTAACTTGCATTTGATATATTTGCAAAGCAAAATTAATTTTCTGACACAAATAATCTTGCTATACATATAGACGTTTGGTTAGTATTTCTTAAAACATTTGAAAATCCATTGATTTTTCCAAAAAAGAGAAATAA